TTTCCCTTTTCTTCTTTATCCTCTAACTGCTCTTCTAATAGCAAATCCTTCCTAAAAGTGATTGCATTACATTCTTGATTCAATTCTCTTTCCATTGATATATAAGTTTATGGTGGTACTCACCCCCCAAAAAAGTGGTGTTATTAGCTAGTTTTAGAAAATACAACTTTTTTAAAAAAAATTTGATTTATATGCCGCCCTTCTCCGGAGACTCAGGGCGGCTTACAATGCGTTAAGCAATAGCCTTCATCCTTTTGTATATTTATACAAAGTCAGCTTATTGCCCCCACAAACTGGGTCCTCAATTTTACCTACCTTTGAAAAGATGGAAGGCTGAGTCAACCTTGAGCCTTGGCGACTTTTCCCAAAAGATTTCCACAATTTTGGCCACTACCGTATAGTGTGGTATCTTGGAGAAGGCTATTGATTTTCCCCCCCAAAAAATTTCTGGAGAAGAACAGTGTGGAAGCTACCAGACCTCTTTTTGGCTCCAACTACTATCAGCGTCCTTTAATCTTTTGCAGTGGGTCATAATCATTGTGGGAGCTCCATCACTGGAGGCTTTGAAGAAGGGACTGGAGTGCCACTGGTCTGGAATGATATAAGGCAGTGATGGCAAACCTTTTCAGCACCGAGTGCCCAAGCTGGAACACGCGTGCATGTGCATGCGTGTGTGTGCACTGGAGCACCAGAAAACCAAAAACTAGCTGGGCAGCTGGACAGTGCTGGGCAGCGCGGGCATTTTGGGGGCATCAAGAGCCTTGATAGTACAGTGGTCTAAGCACCCTGTTATTAACACAGCTGCCTGCAATTACTGCTGGTTCGAATCTCTCCAAGGCTCAAGGTTGACTCAGCCTTCCATCCTTTCAAAGGTAGGTTAAATGAGGACCCAGTTTGTGGGGGTAATAAGCTGACTTTGTATAAATATGCAAAAGTATGAAGGCTATTGCTTAACGCATTGTAAGCCGCCCTGAGTCTCCGGAGAAGGGCGGCATATAAATCAAATTAAAAAAAAAATTCAGGCTGTTTTGGGGCCATTTTCAGACCGTTTTCTGGGCTGTTTTCAGGCCATTTTTGGAGCATTTTCAGGCCTGAAAAACAGCCCGGAAAATGGCTCAAAAAATCAACCTGAAAAGAACCCCAAAACAGCCTGAAAAAGGCCCGGAAACAGCCTGGAAAACAGTCCCAAAAAATGGCCTGTTTTTTTACCGGTTTTTTGTCATTTTGGGGGCTGTTTTCAGTCTATTTTCCGGCGCTCCAGCACCTGCAAAGACCAGCTGGCGAGCGCGCACATGCACGCTGAAAACTACAAGAACAGCTGGCGATGGCGCAGGTGCCCACATAGAGGGCTTTGCATGCCAACTCTGGTGCGCTTGCCATAGATTCGCCATCGTGGGCATAAGGTCTTCTGCTCGAACTTGGTGTTGGACTAGAAGATCTCCAAGGGCCCATCCAACTGTATTATTCTGTACAGAGGAGGTAGAATAATCTAGAACCTCATCTCCAGAATGATTCTGCCCATCCTGTTGGATCTAGTGAAGATGGTGTTGTGGCTCCGTTACCGGAGCCTGTGTCATCGGCAGGAGAGGACTCCGAGAGTGAAGGAGAGGAGTTGGCAAGGCCTCCCTCTCCAGGACCCTCCTCTCTGGCAATGCCTTCGGTGTCCGCCAAAGGGCAAGAGATAGGGCCAGGGCCAAGCACGTCCACGCAGCCACAGGTGGACAGTGATGAGGGTAATGAGTCTTGGCTGGATCCTCGACAGCATCACAGAGATAAGCACGCGCAACAGAAGAAAAGGCGTGCCCGAGATTAGGCTGAGTCACTGGACCACACCCCACAGGCTATAAAAGGGAGAGTGTTCGCCAGTCAAGCCTTGTGACAAACAAAGCTGAAAGCTTCCACGCCATTCTGCATTGCCGGACTTTTGCTATAGACTTTGCTGGATTATCTTTGGACTTGATTGACTCTGTAATTATTGAGCTGTTTACTTTGATGTACCAGAAGCGGGGAGAAGTTATCTCTCCTCTTCGTAAGTAATAAACTCTTGGCAAGCAGCCACTAGGTTGTTGCCAAGTTCCGTTATCATAAGGAAAAGGATTTTGTCGGCTGGTTTGGTCTTTAACTCTTGGACGTCTGTTGGTGTGTGTGCGTGTGGGACCGGGACAGAACAGATGGTTCATCCCAGATAAAGAAGGAGGTGACAGACCAGAGCCTGGAAATCTGATGGTCCTGCTTTTTCTGACTTTTAGGAGCCTAGTCAATCTTTTCTTGAGAGGGGCCTTTGATTACAGTGGCACCTTGTAAAGAAGGGGAAAATGCAGGGATGGGCTTCAAAAATATTAGCAAGGGGTTCTCTTCCAGGCTGCTGGGTAGGCATGGCGATGGTGGGTGTGGCCTAGTCAGCCTCCTGCACCATGGTGGGGGGAGGGTGTTTTTGCCCTCCCCAGGCTCCAGAGGCCCTCTGGAGGGCGGAAACGTTTTTTGCCCTCCCTGAGCCTCCATGCACACCCTGTACTTACCTGCATCCACAATGGGCCAGGTGGAGACTCCTGGGAGGGGAGGGGTGGGGAGGGGAGGGGAGGGTGGGGCCAGCCAGGAGGAGGATTTGGGGGTTCTCCGAACTGCATGGAATCTTAGCTAGAGGTTCTCCCGAACCCCTGCAAACCCCCAGCCTCCCACCCCTTGGACAAAGCGCAATCTTCCACAACTCTTTTGTTGTTCATTTCTCTACTGTTTTGTTCTCTTTTTTTGATCCAGTTTATCAGGAGATATATTGAGATTCTTCCATACATTGCCCAGAGTTATTACATTTAGGCAGAAAGTTCATGAAGGAATGAAATCTAGAATTTAGGGCATCGCAACTGATGTAGATCTTGGAGGACATTTGTCTGTCTGCTGTCCATCCTGGAGCAGATGAAGGCTTACCATCCTGCATCTTTTGTTCACAGTTCATGAGGTCTTTACAAATACGGGTAGGGTTTTCCTTTGTCCCCAGGGGTCTCTTGATGCTCTGGATGAGGACACTGAGGTAGTGCAAGGTCTTAAAGATCTCCCCTCCTTGCTCCATCGCTGGAAGATCCATCTGTTCGTAGCTCTGCCGGGAAAGAGAGAAGACACGCATGGATTCCTTGCAGTGGCTGATCCTTTTTGGCATTTCAGAGAGTCTTCCTTAAAGATCTCCAAAAAGATCTCGTGGCTTACCTCTGACCTGAAGACAGCGCTGGCAGTCAACATGGAGTGGAAAGCTACATCGAAGTCATCTTGCCCCTGGATTAGAGGAGAAAAGACATAGTTATGGTAGACTTAGAATAGAATAGAATAGGATAGGATAGGATAGGATAGGATAGGATAGGATAGGATAGGATAGGATAGAATAGAATAGAATAGAATAGAATAGAATAGAATAGAATAGAATAGAATAGAATAGAATAGAATAACAGAGTCAGAAGGGACCTTGGAGGTCTTCTAGTCCAACCCCCTGCTTAGGCAGGAAACCCTACACCACTTCAGACAAATGGTTATCCAACATCTTCTTAAAAACTTCCAGTGTTGGAGCTTTCACAACTTCTGGAGGCAAATTGTTCCACTGATTAATTGTTCTAACTGTCAGGAAACTTCTCCTTAGTTCTAAGTTGCTTCTCTCCTTAGTTTCCACCCATTGCTTCTTGTCCTTCCTTCCTTGTCCTTGGAGAATAAGTTGACTCCCTCTTCTTTGTGGCAGCCCCTGAGATATTGAAACACTTGCTGTCATGTCTCCCCTTGTCCTTCTTTTCATTAAACTAGACATACCAAGTTCCTGCAACCGTTCTTCATCTGTTTTAGCCTCCAGTCTGCTAATCACCTTTGTTGCTCTTCTCTGCACTCTTTCTAGAGTCTCCACATCTTTTTTACATCGTGGCAACCAAAACTGAATGCAATATTCCCAGTGTGGCCTTACCAAGGCCTTATAAAGTGGTATTAACACTTCACCTGATCTTGATTCTATCCCACCGTTTATGCAGCCTAGAACTGTGTTGGCTTTTTTGGCAGCTGCTGCACACGGCTGGCTCATATCTAAATGGTTGTCCACTAGGACTCCAAGTTCCCTCTAGGACTTGAAGGAGAAAGTCCATGCAGATAGAATACATGCACTGTCAGAATTAATGATGAAATGTCCAGGGTGGAGATTATGATGTTTAAATGAAATAAGAACCACGCAGGCTCCTGTAACCCAATCTCTCAAAGGTTTCATGGTTTCATTTTGGGATTGTTTGTTTGTTTTTTCAACAAACGTCCCAAACTTGCCGAATTCTAAGGCCAGTGAGGATTCAGAAAACTTACAAATGCAGCTTGAATTCCTGGTGGGCCCTGTAAAGATAAGAGACAAAGTCTGAAGCGTTAAGCAAGTTAAATCAAGATCAAATTCTTGGCTGTTGAGGGCCAGAGTTGGAAAGCTGTCCGTCGGATCCTTTAGGTTGTAAAGTAAAGAATATGAGCCGTGGTGGCGGGGTGGTTAGAATGCAGTACTGCAGGCTACTTCTGCTGCCTGCCGGCTGCCTGCAATCTGGCAGTTCGAATCTCACCAGGCTCAAGGTTGACTCAGCCTTCCATCCTTCCGAGGTGGATAAAATGAGGACCCAGATTGTTGGGGGCAATAGGCCAACTCTGTAAACCGCTTAGAGAGGCTAACTCTGGTGATTGCCAGCAGTTCGATTCCCACCGGCTCAAGGTTGACTCAGCCTTCCGTCCTTCCGAGGTGGGTAAAATGAGGACCCAGATTGTTGGGGGCAAGAGGCTGACACTGTAAACCACTTAGAGAGGGCTGTAAAGCACTGTGAAGACGTATATAAGTCTAAGTGCTATTGTTATTGCTTGCTTCCTTCCCTTCCTTCCTTCTTTCTCTCCCTCTCTTTTCTCCTTCCTTCCTTCCTTCCTTACTTCCTTTCTTCCTTGCCATGGTGGCACAGTGATTAGCATACAGTATTGCAGGTTAATTCTGCCCATTGCCATCAGTTCGATCCTGACCAGCTCAAAGTTGACTCAGCCTGTCATCCTTCCAAGGTCGGTAAAACGAGGACCCAGATTGTTGGGGGGCAAGAGGTTGACTCTGTAAAACCGCTTAGAGAGGGCTGTAAAAGCACTGTGAAGTGGTATATCAGTCTAAGTGCTATTGCTATCTCTTGCATTCAGGTTCCACAGCCCAGATGCAGAAAAGCTTCAGCCATCATCATGGGCTTTTTAAGACAAAGGCAACAAAAACCCAAATCATATTTTAAATACATACCGGGGGGCCTGGAGGTCCTCGGGGCCCTGGGATACCCTAGGAAGATAAGAGTCAAGATTAATCATGATTGATCCTCCCTAACCTGAACAGCTGGTGGCTGAACTGGAGATGCAAAACACCACTGTGTATGAGGGGAGGGGGGGGGTTCTTTTCCAAAGTTGTCTTCCTCTTTTTCACACACACACACACACACACAGAGACACAAATATTTTCTTCACTGTCCCAAAGGTGCTTTCTTTCAAAAGACAACTGGACTTCCTTGGGGATTTTTTTGGAGACATTTCACTTCTCATCCTAGAAGCTTCTTCAGTTCTGACTGAATGGTAGGGGAACGGAAGGATTTATATTCCTGGCAGTCATCTGGTCGTTAGCAGTCTTTCTGAGCATCGTTGAGGCCACTTTTTTTTTTTTTAATTTGATTTATATGCCGCCCTTCTCCGGAGACTCAGGGCAGCTTACAATGTGCTCAGCAATAGCCTTCATCCTTTTGTATATTTACACAAAGTCAGCTTATTGCCCCCACAAACTGGGTCCTCATTTTACCTACCTTAGAAAGGATGGAAGGCTGAGTCAACCTTGAGCCTGGCGAGATTCGAACCTGCAGTAATTGCAGGCAGCTGGTCTTAATAACAGGGTGCTTTAGACCACTGTATTACCAAGGCTCCACTTGGAGGTTTATCTGTGCCCTACAAGTCCAGTTGCCTTTTGAAACACTGTCCTTTGGGACAGTGATGACCTGGATGACAGAGAATCTCCATAGACATTTAGCTGTGCATCAGAGCTGAGGAAGCTTCTTGGATGAGAAGCGAAACGCCTTCAAAGAAAAACAAGAAAGTCCAGTTGCCTCTTGAAAAAGCACCTTTGGGACAACCATGACCTGGATGGATGAGAATCTCCATAGACATTTAGCTGTGCATCAGAGATGAGGAAGCTTCTTGGATGAGAAGCGAAACGTCTTAAAGGGGAAAACCAAATCCAGTTGCCTTCGGAAGAACTGAAGAAGTTTCTTGGGTGAGAAGCAAAATGTCTTCAAAGAAAAACATCCAGTTGCCATTTGAAAGAAAACACCTTTGGGACAGCCACAACCTGGATGGACTGAGAATCTCCAGATACTTTTTCCTTCACTGGCTTCATCTCGGCACTGTGATTCTCTTGCCTGGACTAAAATGTTGCATTCTATTCTTTTAAGCAAACTCCATATTTCAACCCGGACATGACCATTCTTAATTTTGCACTTCCCAAAGGCCAAATCAGAACGATTGGATTTCCACCATTTAATCAAAGCCCTTGGACTGCAAAGCGATCCAACTGGTCAGTCCTAGAGGAGATCAACCCCAACTGCTCTTTAGAAGGCCAGATCCTGAAGAGGAAACTCAAATACTTTGGCCACCTAATGAGAAGGAAGGACTCCCTGGAGAAGAGCCAAATGCTGGGAACGATGGAGGGCAAAAGAAGAAGAAGGGGACGGCAGAGAACGAGGTGGCTGGATGGAGTCACTGAAGCAGTCGGCGTGAGCTTAAATGGACTCCAGAGGATGGTAGAGGACAGGAAGGCATGGAGGAACGTTGCCCATGGGGTCGCGATGGGTCGGACACGACTTCGCAACCAACAACAACAAATCAAAACTACTTTACATATGTTTGGTTTTAGTGCCAACACTTGGACTGTAATTTCAATTTTTTTTCCTTCCCTTTTCATACAGGAAACGTTTCGAAAGAATGGCTGAGGAGTTTTCAAGTCTTGGGGTGGAAGGAGCAATCTTGATGGGACAACACAGAGCCATACTTACCCTTGGACCTTGGAGACCCTGAAAAAAAGGAAACGAAGAAGGAGATGAAAACGGGTCCTTCACAGAAGAGGCGTGGGTGCAAAATGACTTTCACACCCATGGCACAAAAAGGACAACACTTACCACTTCACCTTGGCTGCCTTTCTCTCCTTTAGGACCCTGGGGAGGGAAAAAAAAGGGTGACAAAATGCACACCTGTTAAACGTGTAAGACGTCTGCACGTGCCAATATAAAGAAAAGCTCCGAAGTCACTGTGTGAATCAGCCCTTGAGCGTGAGAAAGAGTGAGAACGGCTTGCCTTCAGAAGTTGTGGATGCTCCATGACTGGAGGTTTTTAAGCAGAGATTGGACAACCAGTCAAAATCAGGGGGGAAATATATTAAGAGAGTCGGAAGATACTTTTGAAAGGGAGATAGGGGCCTGGGTAGAAATTTTGGAAACTGGGCAGTGGAAGAGGGTAGAGGTGGGAGAAATACCTAGACTGAACAGCCAAGAAGCTGATGCAAACAGAGATAAAGATCCAAGAGAGGAATATGGGAGGCAAGTAAAAAAAAAAGCATAGTGATTAAAGTATTGAAGCGGGCAAGAGATGATGAATAGATGATTTCTCCTTTTTTGTTGTTGTTCTGATTTGCTTTTCTTTTTCTCTCTTTTCTTTTTTTTTTTTTAGGTAGGTGACATGACTAGAAGTTAGGTGACATGAAAACGAATCAAGGAGAGAAGCAATCTGGAATTAAGGAGAAACTTCCTAATGGTGAGGACAATTAACAGGTGGAACAACTTGCCTCCAGAAGTTGTGGATGCTCCATCACTGGAAGCTTTCAAGAAGAGACTGGTCAGCCATCTGTCAAAAATGGTGTTGGGTCTGCTTGGGCAGGGGGTTGGACTAGATGACCTACAAGATCCCTTCCAACTCTGTTAATCTGTATCTGTATCTAAGTTGCTGGACTGAAGGGTTAAAATTGTCTAGAAAACACCATGTGTGAAAAAGAAGACCATGGGAAGAAAGCCAAATAGGACAACAAACTTTGTTGACCGAGAAGGAGGGACGATGGTGCCTTCCAGATGTTTGGCCTTCAGCTCATATCACCTCCAACAGCTTGGCTCAACAGCAAGAGGCCGTTGTCCAAAACATCTGCCTGTATCAGGTGCCCATCCTTACTTTAAATATTTCTTTTCTATGTTCAGGCAAAGTGAAAATCTGAGCTTTAGTTTCCTGGTCTATATGGATCAACATTCAGATCTCAGTTTTGTAATGAAAGACACACAGAGTTGTGTACCATCACAATTTTTCCTGGGAATGCCTTGGGATGCTGCACCGCAACGGAAGATCCAAAGACAATGCGACATAGGAATCGTTGCAATAGTTCAAGACATTAATAGATAAGAACCAGAGTCGTGGATCACGCTGGGGTTTGAAGGATCTGCACCAGCTTTGAAGAGAGTCCCACTTTCAAGGGGCAGAGCTGCCACAGTCTCAAGCTAAGTGGAGGAACTGTGGATTTTGAGTTTTGTTTTGTTCTGACAAAGGGCCCATCCACATTAGGAAGGGGTGAGTGTTGAGAAAATGACAGTTATGATGGCCTTAAAAAAATTCCACACCGCCTTCAAAAGAATTCATGTGCGGTTAGAAAAAAATGATTAGACAACATAATAGAGTTTAAGCCAGAATTATTCTGATTAGGCGTTATAGCAGGCGGTTATGATAAAGGGACAATATATACCTAATATTACACATCTTGACCGCAGCTAGAATTGTATATGTACAGTAGTGGGAAGAGCGAAAACACCCCTTCAGAAGAGGAGAGGATAAGGAAGATACTGGTCTGTATGGAAATGGACAGACTAATGTTAAAAATAAAAGATAAAGGAGATACAGAATGCTATGCTGTATGGAATAGATTCTGTCAATGGTTGGAAGCACGAGGTGGAAGTTAGAAAGCCATAGAATCAGGTTAGGTGGAAATGGAAAGAGATACTATATATGTATTAGAATGAAAGATAAATTTGGTACTCTAGAATATGATGGTCAGAAATAAGTGTACAGCACTGGCACTCTTTAAAATACCATATTTTTCGGACTATAAGACGCACCTGACTATAAGACACACCTAAATTTAGAAGAGGAAATCAACAACAAAAAAAGTTTTTGGCCTCCACGGGCCCCATTTTGGGCCTTTTTGGGCCCCATTTTCAAGGCTTTTTTCTGTCAGTTTTCTAGGCTTTTTTTGGCTGACTTTTGAGGCTTTTTAAAGCCTGTTTTTGAGGCTTATTCCAGCCTGTTTTCAAGGCTTTTTTCAGCCCATTTTCAATGCTTTTTTCAGCTCATTTTTGAGGCTTTTTTGGCCCATTTTCAAGGCTTTTTTCTGTCCGTTTTCTAGGCTTTTTTCGGCTGACTTTTGAGGCTTTTTTAAGCCTGTTTTCGAGGCTTATTCCAGCCTGTGTTCGAGGTTTTTTTCAGCCCATTTTCAATGCTTTTTTCAGCTCATTTTTGACGCTTTTTGGCCCCATTTTCAAGGATTTTTTCTGTCTGTTTTCTAGGCTTTTTTCGGCTGAATTTTGAGGCTTTTTTAAGCCCATTTTCGAGGCTTTTTCCAGACCATTTTTCCAAAAATATTGGCCAAAAAAAGCCTCAAAAACGGGCTGAAAAAAGGCTTGAAAAATGCCCAAAAATGGGGTGTGCCCAAAAAACGGCCAGCAGGTGGGCGGGGCATCGGCAATATTTGGTCTATAAGATACACAGACATTTTCACCCCCTTTTGAGAGACAAAAAACTGTGTCTTATAGTCCAAAAAATAGTAGTATATTTGTTAGTTTTTACCTTTGTTTCATGGTATGTGGAATGCCAGGACAATTGCAGTGTATTCATTATTTTTATATTTAAACAATAAATCAATAAAAAAAATATTTTTTAAAAAAATCCATAGCACCTTGAGAGAAAATTTGCTAATCTTAAGAAGAGGAACTAAAGAGCAAGAGGGACACTTACAGAGTTTCCTGGTGGGCCTGAAATCCCAACTGGACCAATGACACCTTCTTGGCCCTACAAAAATAAACCATTCATTTAGACAATGGATAAGCTATTTCACTACAAGAACTTCTATTTCTCTTCCCTGGAGGGGTCTCCAGCCCTATTTTCCTGGTGGTGTCTAGCCAGCTCCAATCCTTCTTAACTTTTGAATTCAGATGAGGCTGGTGTCAGGCCTGGAAGCCATCTTTTGCGTTGGATCCTCAGGCCTGCCACATTTACGACTGTGGGAAACTGGGAGGGGGGATTGTATGGAGCCAGGGTGATATGTAGTCATAATAACATTCCTTTCTCAGAGAGTCAAGGACATCTTGCCCTGCACCTGTAAAGATGGAACTGGGAGGCATCTCCAGTTGGGATGGTGTCTTGATTGGACCATTTGATGGACTTGTGGGTGCTGGGCAGGGACTTGGATGTTCCTTTGGGTGGGGAAAATCTGGAAGCTTTCAGATTCGGGTTTTCCCAGATGTGCCAATATGACATCTTCTAATAAAATGGAACTTTGAGGGACTTCAAGCCTCGGAGTCTTCTTTCTTTGAGGAACCCTGACAGCTGGAGCACCACCTTGCTTTCTGACCAATAATAGCACCAGATGGGTATCAAAGAGCTGCCCAATGTCCAGAAGCTCATCTAAGGAATTTGGACTTTCAGATGACCCAGCAAGGGCTACCAGACCCAGAACAGGACTGCTTGTTTTTTCAGGTATTTCACCTTTTCTGGGTAGAAGAAATATTCATCAGGGAAAGCAGATGGAGGAGAAGACAACCCATCTTCTACCAACCCATCCCTTGAACTACTACCGCTACTTCCTCAGCAGATTTACGTACTCTACTGCTGATTCTTTATCCTTGATTCTAGCACAGTATTGGTGAACCTTTTCAGCACCAAGTGCCAAAACGGAAGCTCATGCGCGTCGGGGAGTGCCAGAAACCGGAAGAACAGCTCCCCGGCGTGCATGTGCGTGCTGGGAAGCTGAGCTTCCAGTTTCTGGTGTGCGCATGCATGCCAATCACCTGGTCTTCCGGTTTCCGGTGTGCTTGCGTGCACAAAGACCAGCTGGCTAGCGCGCATGTGCACGCTGGAAATGGGAAGTTCAGCTTCCCGGCGCACACATCAGTAGTGGGTTGCCCCCAGTTTGGACCGGTTCGCAAGAACCGGTAGTAAAACTGGCAGGAGGCCCCGTCCACTGCCCCGGATGTCATCATCGGCGATCTGCGCATGCACAGAAGCTTTTGTGCGATCCCGTTCCGAACCGGTAGTAAAAGCAAGTAGAAACCAGTCCTCGCACACATGCATGCCAGGGAACTGCTCTTCTGATTTCCAGCGCTCCCGTGCGCACGAAGACCAGCTGGCCAGCGCACATGTGCGTGCCAGAACCTGAAAGAGCAACAGGCGATGGCTGGCATGCCCGGAGAGATGGCTCTGCATGTCACTTCCGGCACTCATGCCATAGGTTCGCCATCTTCTGCCACCAATAGCCTCCCACCGACCAGTCCGTTCCCACAGGGAGGGTCTCCTCAGGGTGCCATCAACCAAGTTATGTCGACTGGCGGCGCCCAGGGGGAGGGCCTTCTCTGTGGGAGCCCCATCCCTGTGGAACGAACTGCCCCCGGAAATTCGTAAGATCTCCGACCTCCGGGCGTTTCGCTGCGCACTGAAGACCCTATTATTCCGCCAGGCCGGACTAACAACACAATAGTTTTTAAATTGGGATATTTAAATTTATTGGGGTTTTAAATCTGAGCCACTTTATTTAATTATTTTAAATTTTATATTGTTGTTTTGTTTGTGTTTTTAAACAGGCTGTACACCGCCCTGAGTCCTTCGGGAGAAGGGCGGTATAGAAATAAAATTATTATTATTATTATTATTATTGCTATTCTACCAGGAAACACTGACTGATTGAGGAATTTGGTGACGTGGTGACAACTTGGTAGGATATGACTAAATGTTTTGGCCTCCGAGAAGAAAGCTGTCTCCATCGTCATTACCACCAAACAGATCAAAACCTGGTCCTTCGGCTGCCCAGTTTCAGTCGCTCAGTCATGGGGTGGGCAGAAGACATGGAAGTGGGTCTGAATACAGCTCACCATCTTTTAACTGAGAAGAAAGCAGCTTCTGAAGAGAGCTGAAGGTCAAGGCAAGAATGGTGAAACCCTCAACTCACCCAGAGTCCTTGAGGCCCTTTCGGGCCCTGGATGCCTTTGAAGCCAAGATCTCCCGGTGGTCCCTGTTGAGAGAGAGAAAAACGTTGGATGAAAATAACCAGGTGAGAGCACTATCCGCCCCTTGGACATCATCTCCTTCGGCTATCCCTTTCCTATTTTGAAAAGTAAAACCATTTCAAATAATATTAAAAAGGAGTGGTGTGCGGGTGGCCTAGAGGTGGAGCTCTCGCCTCACAATCGGGAGGCTGTGAGTTCGATCCTAGGTAGAGGCAGATATTTCTCTCTCTCGGCACACTGAGGATATATATCTGCTGAACAAAACTCCACATTGGCAACAGGAAGGGGATCCGGCCATTAAAAACACTCTGCTAGTTCCATTCAGTTACTCAGACTCCAGCCCGCAAAAGATTATGAGGTCGTTAAATGAAGGTGATGATTTCAAATAATACTTAAAAAAGATCCCAAAGTAGGGATCTACATCCAAGTTGCAACCACCTCTGCTGTTATTTTTCTCTCTTTCCTTTCCTTCTGAACTGTGCCCTGTCCCCAAACAGAAATTGAAGCAGCGAAGGTGGCAGCGAACAAACTTAAGTCCATCTTAAGTTAACTTAAGTTTTTACAGCATAAAAATTCCTGGGAGTCCATCTCAGCGAAGACTTCACCTGGGAAAACAACACGATCCAGGTGGCCAGGAAGGCGCAACAGAGTCTCCGTTTCCTTAGGGTCTTGTGTAAAAACAGGGTGGAACAACAACTGATGACCTCCTTTTACCGGTCCACAACAGAAAGCATCCTCACTTATTGCATCACTGTGTGGCATGCCGGTTTGACAGCCGTGGATAGAAAAACACTACAGAGGGTGGTGAGCACAGCACAAAAAATCATGATCTGTCCACCGATACCACTAGATGAGATTGCTAGGGCTCGCTGCCTTAGACGAGTGAGGAAAATCCTCAGGGACGACTCTCACTCTAGTCACCACTTCTTCATCCTCCTACTGTCGGGAAGGAGATATAGAAGCATAGCCAGGCTGAGTTTTTATCCGTGGGCTGTCAGACTCCTGAATGCAAAATAACATCATAACTACGTAGTACGATGGACCTGCAGGGCCGGCACACCATGTAACATATTCACACTGGTGCAATAGGACTGGGTGTTTTGTTAATATGATTTATTGGGTTAGGGATTTTCTGTCTTCACTGTGAGTTGTATTGTGGAGGGGAGGGGAGGTGCACTGAGGGAGCTCAACCAATCTCATTGTACATACGTTGGGCACCGACAATAAAGATTTGAAATTGAATTGAATCTCTAGATGACAGGAGGTCGTTCATGAGTGGTCCCACTCAACCTGTGCAGAGATCAATCATCGGCAGCTGCCATTTTGTTGAGCAGGTTCACCACTCGTGGTCAACCTTGAGACACCTGACGCAAAACATGACCTGTCTCTGAATCAGGAACTTGGTACGACGTTATTAGGGAAGGCTCCAACTCACCTTTGGGCCAAAGAGTCCAGCAATCCCTGGAAATCCCGATTCACCAAAGTCTCCCTAGATAGATTTTCCACGGAGCAGAAGGAGGAACAACAACAAGAAGAGATGATGCCAAAAACACGAACAGTCTGAAATTCCCCTTCCATCCCTTTTTGTGAAATTGGCGAAGAAAAAAGGGGCCCCTCCAAACCCCAGATGGATTTTTAGCTCTCAAGACAAAGCCATCATCGTCTCCTCCACGATCATAGCTTGGCTTGGAAATGACTCTGCTCGTCTCTTCCAGTTTCTGAAGGGAAGGACGGTGGGTTTTTGCTGTACTTGATGTCTTAATCTAAGCATATTTTGGCAGAGGATGATGCTCAGGAATAAGAGAGGAGATGAAGAAGGAACCTGGCATGGACAGCCCCTGTGTTACTTCAGGAAATTGAATGCAGAAGCTCAGATGTTTGGTAGATCTATCCTCTATACCTGCCCCATCAATCATGCAGCAGAAGAACTTATTTTTCTTGGCCTGAGAGATATCCTCAACCAACAAACTTCAGCAGCTATCGCACGCATCTACTCACCGGCTGTCCTTTGGTCCCTGGATCACCGGAGGTCCCAGGGAGTCCCATTCCACCTTGAGAACCTCTTTTCCCCAATGGACCAATCTCTCCAGGCAAACCTCTTTCTCCCTAAAAAAAAAGCCACCAAAAGATTCCATCAACATTACAGATTGGCAAAGATGTTTCCAAATACCTCCCTGCTATGTTGGAAATGTAAACATCAAAAAGGAACTTATTATCACATGTGGTGGTCCTGCCATAAGGCAAAACAATTTTGGCAAATAATTAAAATACAAATAGAAGAAATTATAAATCAACAAATAGAAATGAGGCCAGAAACTTTCCTACTGGGAATAATTACCGGGTCTTATGAAAAAGAAATAAGATACTTAATTATTCACATAATTACAGCAGCACAAATAGTTTTTGCCCAAAACTGGAAAAACAATGACATACCAATAGAAGACAAGGTGATTAGAGAAATTATGGAGTGTGTGGAAATGGATACACTCACAAAGGAGATACAAGAAAAAGATGAAACAGAATATTACTTAGTCTGGGAGAAATGGTATAAATGGTTGGAGGAGAAAGGGGGAAAAAGTGGGGGGGACAAAAGAAAACTAAACAATGGTTAAATTAGGTGGAGGAATATGGAAACAAATGGGAAGATATTAAAAATTGTGGAAAGGAAATTAGGTACCTGTTTATGTTAAATGTAAATAAAATGTTTAGATTAACAGAATATATTATAACGGTATATATATGATATACTAGAAATATATGTATAAAAGATATATTAAGATAAGAAAGAGAAAATGTATAAATATGGATTACTGATGCGAAGATGTTGAAAAGAAGAAGATGTAAATATCAAAAATAATAATAATAATAATTACAGATTCTAGAAGTCCTCCAACCACTTAAGACTGAAGTTCTTTGCCCTTTGTTTGAACCCGGATCTCCCAAAAATCTGAGAGGAGGACAAAGACTTGGCTGCATCACCAACATCTTCACGAACTTTAGATGGTCCTCCTTGAATACCTTGTTGCTCCAGGCTACATCCTTAATTTGAGACTGATGTACCGAGAAAGGGGTGGAAGCTTCAAAAATGCCACGTCCTCAACCTCCCTCTCCAAAATAGCACTGATTCTAAACTTAATCTGGGAAAGCAGTAGTAGTACTTTATTGTCCTTGCACCTTGTACAAGGAAATTAAATACCATCTTCAGTGTACATTATACATAAGAAAAACTAAAAAAAATAAAACACAAACGCACATCCTTCGCAGTCTATACAATTGAGTTGAAAACCCCTGATATTGAATTAATATTGCACTATACCGTAGAATTCAATATAGTTACCGCTCTGGGATAGAAGCTGTTTTTCGGCCTATTTGTCCTTGTTTTTATGATCCTGTACCGGCTGCCAAATGGTAATAGTTCAAAAAAAAAAAAAAGGGGGTGCCAAGGATGAGATGGATCTTTAAGAATGTTTTGAACTTTCTTAAGGCAGCGGGAGCTATAAAGCTCTTCCAAGGAGGGGAGAGGGCAATCAATGATCCTCTGGGCAATGACGTTGACCCTCTGGAGCACTGTCCTATCTGCCACTGTGCAATGGGCAAACCATAAACACAGGTGCAGTAAGTTAAAATACTCTCTATGGTGCAGCGGTAGAAGGTCGCCAGCAGTTTTTCATTCAGTTGTTGTTTCCTGAGAAGTCTGAGGTCGTAGAATGTCTGCTGGGCCCTTTTGACCAGTGCTGCAATGTGAGCGCCCCAGGTCAAGTCAGGGCATCTTCCCTGGTAAAACTGGCAAGATTGACATTACCCTAAACCAGACTGTTGTTCCCAACTCTGGCCGTTAGGGGGCAATGATGGCCAATTGACACATCCCTGGTTAAATGAGGGATAATTAGATCCCCGTTCACCCAGCCCCCAAACTGTTCTATACAACCCACTTGGACTGATCTCTTTTTAGCAAGTTCCTTCTCACAAAACGAAAGTAAGAAAAGAACCGAAGAAAAGCAGACACCACAAGGTCAAGCTTGCAGATCCTGGGCCTCTAAACCACCAGCTGTGTGGACATTCACTCTGGAACATTTCCCCTCTCCTCCCCCGCCCCCCCAAAAAAGGTTGATCCTTTCTTTGAAGCTCTGGAGGGTCATCAGTGCTGAACGTCTTCTCCAATATTGGATTTTGCTTTCCATTTGATACGTTGGTGGTAAGGAGGACCCTGCCTGCTTTTAAGGCTTGCAGTGATGGTGAGTTGACAGCTGAAACTGCTGGTTGATTTAAGGCAGTGATGGCTAACCTTTTTGCCGTCGCGTGCCAAAGGCGGGGGGAAGTGTGGGGGGGTTGCACGCACATGTGCCCACACCCATAATTCAATGCGCCCAGCCCCTCGTACATGCATGCGTGACCACCACCCCCCGTGCTCCCCCTGCGATGGCACGGTGGGACTGGGAGGCCTGTTTTTTTGCCCTCCCCAGGCTCCAAAGCCTTTCTAGGTGCCTGTGGAGGGTAAAAACTGCCTTCCTCAACCCCCTTAAGGCCCTCTGGAGGCCAGAAACAGCCCGTTATCTGATTTCCGGTGAGTCCAGAAGGCCCGAAAATTAGCTGGCCAGCATGCACATGCATGATGGAGCTGAGCTAGGGCAACATTCGCGTGCCCAGAGATATGGCTCCGTGTGCCACCTGTGGCATGAGTGCCATAGGTTCGCCATCACGGATTTAAGGTCTTCACCCCATAGATTCATGATGGCGAACCTATGGCATGCGTGCCAGAGGTGGCATGCAGAGCCCTCTCTGTGCGCATGTGTGCCATCACCAGCTGCTCTTCCAAGTGCACATGCTCAAGTGCCGAAACTGGAGTGCACGCGCCGGAACTCAAAAGAGATCAGCTAGCTGGTGTGCATGCCTACCTGACCAGCTGTCCAGTATGCATTTGCGCTGTAACCCGGAACAGCAACTGGCCACCATGCTCATGCACACCGGCCAGTACTCCCTTTCAGGTTCCAGCATGCATGCATGCATTCCAGTTTCGGCACTCATTGCCAAAAAGGTTAGCCATCACTGCCATAGATCATGGCAGTAAATCAAACATAAAGTACATCATCAGACTCTCTACCAACCATCGCCCTGAGTCCTTCGGGAGAAGGGCGGTATAGAAATAAAATTATTATTATTATTATTATTATTATTATTATTATTATTATTATTATTATTATCAAGAGAACTTGAAATCTCAATGGAAGTGTTGTGGGCCGCCAGCGCCAGGCCAGCAGAGCTGGTGGCAGACTCAGACAGTGAGGAGGTTGGCCAGCCCTGGAGTCTGGGGAAGGGTCTGATGAGTGCTCTGCATCGGAGGCAGAGATGGAGCCAGGGCCGTCCGACAGTTATCAGCTGCCTTCGGAGTCAGATTATCAGTGGGGCAGAAGAACAGCTGGAGCCTGTTCCTGTCACTGCGTTATTTTATTTACCAGCTGAGCTCATCATTTCTGGACTGTCAGACTTTCCATAGCTTGCCAACTTCTTATCAGTAAGCTATGTGTTTCTGGATCCACCCACATTCCTTCACACTTTTTTCCTTTGTTCTCTTGCCAGGAGTGCCGGTTACTGTGAAAAGCAGCTGGCCCGAATTACTTTCAAAATGTAGCAATTATCTTTCTTAGTTAGTGAGGTGTTTTATTTTTTTTATAACAAATAAATGAGTTTTATTAGAAAACTTTTCTTCGGGTTTTCTTTTCAGAATATTGCAACTTGGAGGAGCCACGATCCATCCTCTAATTAAATCAGGGTGATTTTTCCCAGAGCCAAAGATGGGATTAATCGATGCCCTGACAGTTCCCAATGTGCGCATGCACAGAGCTGCCAGGAGAAGGGAACAGCTAAGGAACAAGGTTCGACTCAGGAGTAAAGCCACAGGTGGACGGTGAATGGCCCCTCCCAGAGGGAATTAAAGAGGAGCGAAGGGGAGTGGAGTTTGCAGGAGACAATTAGTTCAATTCATGAGGGTGAAGATCTGTTCCTGACTTCTTGCCAAGTAATTGCTGCTCCAGCGTGGCGTTTGGAAGATATCGGCCTGGCAGTTCTCCAAGCCTGATAAAGGTCTGTGAAATCTCATGAAAGACTGTTTGCCGGGAGAGGAATTTCCCTTTAACCTAAATAAAAGAAGTTTTATCCGGCGAGGAGTCTGCTTCATGATCTTGGGAGGCCTAGGTCAGAACAGCAAGACAGGGGCATCAAAATGCCCTTAATCCCTAAAATATCGCCACCATCATCGTCAACTTTTTAAACTGCTAATCACCTCCAACACCTGGACATGGAATAACTAGGTCTTTAAATCAGGTTTAAGAAACAATTGGACACCACACCACACATGATATGTTAATGAAGGCCTCAAGAAATCAGATGCAGAAACTCCAGAGTGTAATTTCTCTACTGACAAAGAATAGGTGGCACGAACCTTGAATCCTGTGGGGCCTTGTGCTCCAGGTAAACCAGGGACTCCAAAGTTCCCTCTTTTCCCCGGCATTCCTGGGGTACCTTCTTCCCCATCCTCACCTTGTTCGCCCTAATTTGGGAAAAGAGGGGAGAAAGAACTTCAGTGTAGCTAAGTGACTATGGAGATTCTCAGATCTCTCCAAGTCATGGTTGTCTCAAAGGTCAGTGGTGCGATCCTCCCAGTTTAACAACTGGTTCGGTGATCGCACGCGGACGCAGTTTGAAAAAAATCTTCACTTTGGAGGAGTAACACAGCTGATTTCCACAGCAATCTGCTCTACTGCGCAAATCAGCTGAGAAGATAAAGGTAGGAAAATAGCGCGGGTGGGCGGGTGGACCCATCTGATCACCGGGGCAAACCGGTTCGCTCCCAGCTGATCGTCGGAGCTACCGGTTCACACGAACTGGTCCGAACCTGTAGAATCCCACCCCTGCCAAAGGTGCTTTTTCAAAAGGCAACTGGACTTCAAAGAAAAACCAGAAAGTCCAGTTACCTCTTGAAAAAGCACCTTTGGGACAATCAGCGTAGGTACATATTCATCATAACAGGTCTGATTCCTATCAACAAATTGTTATAGTGATGAATCGTCATGGATGTAGTTGTATCAGTGACATCCATGCTTCTATGACCCACCTGTTGTGGTCCGCCAGCAGCCTGTGGAGCTGGCAGCGGAGTCGGACAGTGAGGAGGCTGGGGATGACAATGGGCCAGTCCTGGAGTCTGGGGAAGGCCAGGACGAGGGCTCTGCATCGGAGGCAGAGATGGGGCCAGGGTCATCTGGGAATGATGTGTGGACTCCGGAGCCTCCAGAGGCTGACAGCAGAGAGGCAGAGGAACAGGAGGAGCCTGTTCCTAGTGCACGCATACGAAGAGCTGCCAGAAGGCAAGAGCAGCTAAAGCAAAAAGGATGACTCGGGAGTAAGGTCAGGCAATGATTGGCCCCTCCCATAAGGCTTAAAAAAACAGCAAAGCTCTTGGGCTCTTTGTAGGAAAGCAACATTGCTAAATCTGTTTCCAGTCGGTGTCTCTTGTTTCTGAACTTTGTGGAGCTTTGCCAAGAAAGGCCTTTGGCAGGGTACCAAAGAAGATAAAGATTTGTGATAAGCCCTAAGGACTGTTTATGAAGGACTTGTTTTGGAATTAATTTGGACTAAGCTGAGAATGAAGTAATTCTCAGCTGTTACAATAAAATAGTTTTGTTTGAGACTGATTGTGTCCTGTAATGACTAAATGAGCCTAGGTCACAACACCGCCTTCCAAAATCTTGCACTTACTTTTTGCCCACGGTTGCCGTCTTTTCCAGGGATCCCATCAACTCCAGAAGTGCCCTCTTGTCCCTCTCGCCCAATGACGCCTCGAGGGCCTGGCAGACCAAGAGAACCCTACAAGAACAGCCCTCAGTTACAGATTGGACATGGGTTGGCATTGTGAAACAAGGTCAACACAATTTAAAGCTGTATCCACAATATAGCTTCTGAACACTGGAACTCCACTAGGGGTAGTATTCACTTACTTTCCCTACCGGTTCGCAAATGTGAGTGCACACGCCCCATCCACACATGTGCCCGGCCTTCCGTGCATGTGCTTTGCTGGTGCACGTGCCTTCCGTGCATGAGCCCAGACACAAAAATGTGCCCACCTGTGATTTCCACCTGCTGAATACCACCTCTGAACTCCACTTTAATCTCCACTGATCTACACCACACAAGAATGGTGTCTAATTTGAGGTGCCCATTTTCGGACAAATTTCAGAGAAAGTGGGACGGGGTAGAGAAAGGAAACATACCGTATTTTTCGGAGTATAAAAGCACCTTTTTCCCCAAAAAAGGAGGGTGAAAATCTGGATGCGTCTTATACTCCGAATGTAGCCCCGCCCAGCCTCTCAAACAGAGATTTCAGAGGCTGAAAAAAGCCTCTGAAAGAAGCTTCAGAAAAAAAAGCCTCAGAAAGGCTTTTATCTAAAATAATATGGCAAGCAACAAAAGACGAATCAGTAAAGGTTCTAACCAAACTATGCTAACAAATCTGGAGAATGACACCATAACCAACAGATTGAAAGAGGTTAATCTATATACCAATACCAAAGAAAGGAGATTGAACAGAGTACAGATACTCCTTCAGAATAAAAGCCTCTGAAAGAAGCTTCAGAAAAAAAGCTTCCAAACAGAGCTTCAGAAAAAAAAAAGGCTTTTTTTCTGAAGCTCTGTTTCGGAGGCTTTCAAAGGCAGGAAAAAAAGCTTTTTCTGAAACAGAGTTTGACACCTCTGATCTAGATCTAGCCATGTATCATGGCTGCCAGCCACCCCAGATGAGTAGAAGCAAACCTTACTTACCGGTGACCCTCGGCTGCCCCTTGCACCCCGTAGCCCCCGTTTTCCTTGTTGACCCTTAGAAGAGAAAAATAAAAGAAGGAACGACATGGAGATAGCAATAGCACTTAAGACTTATATACCACTTTACAGTGCTTTACAGCCCTCTCTAACTGGTTTACAGAGTCAGCCTCTTGCCCCCAACAACTTGGGTCCTTGTTTTACCCACCTCGGAAGGACGGAAGGCTGAGTCAACCTTGAGCCTGGTGAGATTTGAACTGCCAAATTGCAGTCAGCCGGCAGTCAGCAGAAGTAGCCTGCAGTACTGCACTCTAACCACTGCGCCACCGCGGCTCTTTTCAACATGCATATCTCCCCATTTAGGCAGAGCTGATGTAATTTTCTCAACTTTTCCAATGTATAACTAGTCCTGTCCCATCTCCACATTTGTTGGTGGTAAGTTTTGGGGTACTCTTGTCTTCAATGTATGATAAAATATTGTGGGAGGGGGAAGGATAATTGCAGAATATCCCACTTTTCCTAGACATGTGGAACGAGCAAATTGGGAACGATCTTGCTAAAATGAGAGTGAAATTCCTCTTTGTCTCGTACAGTCCTTCCTTGGAATCTCCTATTCCTCTATCCATCAGGTAGTCCCTCATTTAATGAGGTTCTTCAAAATGGACTTGCCCAGAACAAATTGGTGTCCTCCTTTGTCTGATTTCAGATCTTTCACGACCAAGGTAGAAAACCCAGCTAGTGTTTGAGTCAGCTATTCAAAGCCCAGAAGATTGAACGCACCTCCATAGTAGAAATAAATAGGTACTGTACTTTTTGGAGTATAAGACGCACTTTCCCCCACCCCCAAAAGAGGGTGGAAATGTTGGTGCATTTTGCACACCAAATACAGCCATTTTCGGCCTCCCGAAACCCCGCCCCACACGTCCCGTTTTTGCCTGGGAGCTGGGGACCGCAAAAACAAGACGCGTGGGGCAGTGGTGAAGTCCAAATTTTTTTACTACCAGTTCTGGGGCCATGGCTTGGTGGGCATGGCATGGCTTGGCGGGCATCACTTGGTGGGCGTGGCAGGGGAAGGATACTGCGAAATCTCCATTCCCACCCCATTCCAGGGGAAGGATACTGCAAAATCCCCATTCCCTCCCCACTCTAGGGGAAGGATACTGCAAAATCCCCATTCTCTCCCCACTCCTGGGAGAAGGATATTGCAAAATCTCCATTCCCAACCCACTCTGGGGCCAGCCAAAGGTGTTATTTGCCGGTTCTCCAAACTACTCAAAATTTCCGCTACCGGTTCTCCAGAACTTGTCAGAACCTGCTGGATTTCACCCCTGGCATTGGGGAGGGGGGGGTTGGGAGGCCTGCAGAGTGGTGCATCTTGGTTCATCTTATATTCCAGTGCGTCTTATAGTCCAAAAAATACGGTAATCAGAATCTCCTGACATAGACATGTAGTCTGTCAAGAGAAGCAACTGGGTATGCCAACTTAACATCTGTAAAAGAAAAGCGCCGTCTCTGCATGGCTATTTTCTTCCACAGATGTTCTGCGGCCTTCAATCAAGCCATTCAGCAAATGTTCAAGATAACCATCTCTCCAATTCAATCTGATCTGTTATGAGAAAGCCACCAAGCCATGTCCGCTGTCCAAAACATACCGGAGTGCCTTTGGATCCTTTCAGGCCTGGGGTTCCTGGGGGTCCTGGATGCCCCTGAAAAAAAAATGGAAAGAACCGAAACTATATCCTTGGAAATACCTCCTTGGTAAATATCTTTCATAGGACACCAAGATTGAGCAAAGAAGGACAGAAGGAATCACTTAGAATGGGGGAGAGGAGATTCCAACCTTGGCAACTTTAAGACTTGTGAATTTCAATCCCCACAATTCCATGCCGGCAGGACAATTCTGAGAATTGAAGTCCACTGTTCGGACCTAGGCTTCCTAAGAGCACGAAGCAGACTCCTTGTCCCGACAAAAAACCCCTTTTTATTAAGCTACTGTGTATTCCTCTCATTCCCATCCAGCAAAGTCTTTCAAGGGAGAATTTACAGTTGCAGACCTTATCTGGCTTGGAGAGCTGCCAGGCCGATATCTTCAAAACTTGGCAAGGAGTCAAGAACCAATTCAGCGAACTTATTGTCTCCTGCAAACTCCACTCCCCTTTCGCTCCTTTTTTATTCCCTCTGGGAGGGGCCATTCATCGTCCACCTGTGGCTTTACTCCTGAGTTGACCTTTGTTCTTTAGCGGTTCCCTTCGTCTGGCAACTCTGCGCATGCACACACTGGGAACAGGCTCCAGCTATTCTTCTGCCTCACTGATGTCTGACTCCGAAGGCAGCTGATAACTGTCAGATGGCCCTGGCCCCCTCTCTGCCTCCGATGCAGAGCCCTCGACAGAGCCTTCCCCAGACTCCAGGACTGGCCCATGTTCCTCCCCAACCCCCTCACTGTCCGAATCTGTCAGGCCACCACATCCACAAAGTGGCCAAGGTTGGACACCCCTGACTTAGAGGAAGAACAGACTTCGCTCTCCCCGCCGAGCTGGGGGAGATGGGAGAGTCCCAAGGTCCTGCTGAACCTCATAAGTGAGACCTCCAGCACATCAGAGCAGCTTTCAGAATTTCAGTCCCCAGGAAGGAAAAGAGAACATCAAGCACAAGGCGAGCAGAAATGTGGATTCTGAAGTCCCTCCTTGGATGGAGTTGCGACCTCCAGTGGAGGAGATTCTTGAGAAGAATAAATGGAGTAAATGCAACAACCACAGTGGCTTTTTCTTACAGGTAAACCTTGCTGCCCGGATTTTCCTCGTTCTCCGTCAACTCCTTCTCGGCCCTAGAGGAAAACCAGAGAATCCAAATGAATTATTTCTTCAACGATGTTTGGTCCAGAAGGAAAAGTCCTCCTTGCCCTGTTATTTTCTCCCCATAGCTCAAAGACTACAGGATCTCCTTCTCACACACACCCCTGCTGGAAATAAATTTCGGCATTCAGATTTTTCCTCTCTCCTCATGTTGCAACAGGGACGTTAGCAATGCCACGCCCACCTGGTCACATGACCACCAAGCCACGCTAACCGAGTCACCTGATCATCAAGCTACACCCACCGAGTCACCTGACTACCAAGCCATGCCCACCAAATAAGCCACGCCCACAGAACCGGTAGGGAAATTTTTTAGATTTCACCCCTGGTTAGCATCCTTGTGCCCCAGATGAAAAAGATCTCTGAGAAAAGCTACATTCAGAAGACAGCATTACAAATAGAGGTACGTGGCATTTTGAATAGAAATGCCGTCGTATTTTTACAAGTCTACCCTGAAGGAAATGTGTTAAAGGAGAAAAGCAGGATGACTTGTCTTCTTCTCTTTTTTTTTTAAAGTTCTTTTTGTAATTTATACTAGCATCTGTGTAAATGATTGGGAAAGGGGACGCAGTGGCTCAGTGGCTAAGACGCTGAGCTTGTCAATCCGAAAGGTCGGCAGTTCAGCGGTTAGAATCCCTAGTGCCGCGTAATGGAGTGAGCTCCCCTGACTTGTCCCAGCTTCTGCCAACCTAGCAGTTCGAAAGCAGGTAAAAAATGCCAGTAGAAAAATAGGGACCACCTTTGGTGGGAAGGGAACAAGTAGAGACTTGCTTAGGATTTGAAGGGCAGAAGATTGCAGAGAGAAGAAAGTACTGTTTCCCAAGATGGTTAATTTCCTAACCAGGTATTTGGAGAAGGACTCACAGGATAACCAGGGTCTCCAGACTCCCCGCGATCTCCCCTGTTGCCCGTGGGACCCTAAAGAAAAAGAAAGGGGGAGAAAAACACAAAAACCACATGAGATACAACCTGGTGTTCCAAACTCCTGCATCATGTTTTAAACTCATGGTGAGGATATAACTATCTACAGAAGCAGGGCCTTTTCGGGGATGGCCTCTAGTAAGTGAAGTATCTCTCACGAGAGGTCCAGCGGGCTCCATCACTTCTCTTCTTCCCAGGGTGAGAAGTCCATCCAGTGATGGGATTCAAAGTTTTTTACTACCAGTTCTGTGGACGTGGCTTGTTAGGCATGGCAGGGGAAGGATTTCCACCTCACTCCAGGGGAAAGGATACTGCAAAATCTCCATTCCCACGCCACTCCAGGGGGGAGGATACTGCAAAATCTCCATTTCCATCCTACTCCAGGGGAAGGATACTGTAAAATCTCCATTCCCACCCCACTCTGGGGCCAGCCAGAGGTGGTATTTGCCGGTTCTCCGAACTGCTCAAAATTTCCGCTACCGGTTCTCCAGAACCAGTCAGAACCGGCTGAATACCACCTCTGGGTCCATCTGACCACCACCTGTTAGGCTTTCCATCAGCTGCATGTACTGGCCCACCATTGGCCACAATACTTGAGTTGGCCTTGAGAAGACCTTGATTGATTAATAGCCCTGGACAGAACAGGTAGCTTACTCTCTCTCCGGGTGGTCCAGGGGGCCCCTCTTTTTTCCCATCATCACCTTGTTCTCCCTGAAAATACAAAAGACTTGGTTCACAGGGCAAATATTGTAGTTTAGCATGGAGGTAAAGAAGTACACGACTATTTTTTATTATTATTTATTATTTATTAATCATATTTCTATGCCGCCCACTCTCCAAGGACTCTGGGCGGCTTACACCAAAGACAGTATACTAAATAGCATAATTGCCCCCAACAATCTGGGTCCTCATTTTACCCACCTCGGAAGGATGGAAGGCTGAGTCAACCTTGAGCCGGTGAGATTTGATCTGCTGATCTGCTGAACTAGCAGTCAACTGAAGTAGCTGCAGTGCTGCACCCTAACCACGGCGCCACCTCAGCTCTTAGCAATAGCAATAGCAATAGTAGCAATAGCCCTTTGACTTATATACCGCTTCACAGTGCTTCACAGCCCTCTCTAAGCGGTTTACAGAGTCAGCATCTTGCCTCCCCAACAATCTGGTTCCTCAGTTGACCCACTTCGGAAGGACGGATGGCTGAGTCAATCTTGAGCTGGTGAGAATCAAACTGCTGGCAGTGGGCAGACTTAGCCTGCAATACTGCATTCTACCCACTGCGCCACCACAGCTCCTACTGCAACATCCGATTAGCTACAGCAATAGCAATAGACTTATATACCGCTTCACAGTACTTCACAGCCCTCTCTAAGCGGTTTACAGAGTCAGCATCTTGCCCCCCAACAATCTGGGTCCTCATTTGACCCACCTCAGAAGGACGGATTGCTGAGTCAGCCGTGAGCCGGTGATAATCGAACTGCTGGCAGTGGGCAGACTTAGCCTGCAATACTGCATTCTACCCACTGCGCCACCACAGCTCCTATTGCAACATCCAATTAGCTACAGCAATAGCAATAGACTTATATACCGCTTCGCAGTGCTTCACAGCCTTCTCTAAGTGGTTTACAGAGTCAGCCTATGGCCCTCAACAATCTGGGTCCTCATTTGACCCACCTCGGAAGGACAGATGGCTGAGTCAATCTTGAGCCGGTGAGAATCGAACTGCTGGCAGCGGGCAGAGTTGGCCTGCAATACTGCATTCTAACCACTGCGCCACCATGGCTCTAAATCTAACTGTGAGTGAGTGTTCACATGCTCTCTGCTTCCCTCTGTTTTGCCAAGCAATAGGCAGTGGCAGACAGTTGATTCTTTAAGCAGTCAAAGACAATGAACGCACCGGTAGATAAGGGGAATTTAAGCTTTACAAATAACTTTAGCAGGCAGATTGTAAGAGAAATATGAAGCATAACATACCAAAAAAACAAACAAACAAACAAGAGCTCAGGAGGATTTTCAGCCAACACAACATACGTGCACACTTCAAACCCAAGAATACACTGGGGCAGAAGCTTGTCCACCCCAAGGAATTAAACACCCAGACACAAACTGAGCAATGTGTTATATGCAGTACAGTGCAGTTACCCATGTGCAGATCTGTATATTGGGGAAACAAAACAACCACTTCATAAACGCATGACGCAACATAGGAGAACAAACCCATCAGGATTTGTTCAGATTCAGTGGTCCATCTGCATTTGAAAGACAAAGGCGGCTCTTTTGAAGACACCAGCGAGGATCACTGGTTTGAAAGAGGGGGTCAAAGAGGCCATCTATGTCCAAATTGAACAGCCCTCTCTCAACAGTGGGGGAGAGATACCACATCATCTTATCTCAAGTCTACAACGCAGTCCTTTCAACAGTTCCAAAAAGGCTCCGCATCCACTTGCACCACTCAGGTGATCCTGAGGACACAGATAAACTTCCAAGTGGCCTCAATGACTTTCTAAAAAGGATGCAAGTGACCAGCTGCCTGCAAGGAGTATAAATCCTTCCATTCCCCACCACCATCCAGTCAGAGCCGAAGAAGCTTCTCGGATGAGAAGTGAAATGTCTTCAAAAGAAAAAACAAGAAAGTCCAGTTGCCTCTTGGGAAAAAAAAGCACCTTTAGGATACCAAGCAAAAGGCTGTTCCTTCAGCTGCTGGGAGCCCCCTTTGACAACAACAGAGATACTCCAAAGGCAGGATCATATTATGGTAAATGCTTCCCCTCATACTACAACCAATAACCGCCTAGAGTGCTCCACAGGTAGTCCACAACTTCGAGCCATCTGTTTAGCGACCGTTCAAAGTTACAACGGCAAAGTCCTTTCGTTTACTATCATTCCAATATCCACAAGGTCAAGTGATCAAAATGCTTGGAAACTGGTCTGCATTTACAACGGTTGCAGGGATCAAGGAATCACCAGTTGCGACCTTCTCAGGTCATAAGGGATGAGGGATCTTGGAGTCCTCGTGGACAACCCTTTAAATAGGAGCAAGCCGTGTGCAGCAGCTGCCAAAAAAGCCAACACACTTCTAGGCTGCATCAACAGAGGGATAGAATCAAGATCACGTGAAGCCTTAATATCACTTTATGATGCCTTGGTAAGGCCACACTTGGAATCCTGCATCCAGTTTTGGTCGCCACGATGTAAAAAAGATGTGGAGACTCTAGAAAGAGTGCAGAGAAGAGCAACCAGGATGATGAGGGGACTGGAGGCTAAAACATATGAAGAAAGATTGCAGGAACTGGGTATGTCTAGTTTAATGAAAAGAAGGACTAGGGGAGACAGGACAGCAGTCTTCCAATATCTCAGGGGCTGCCCCAAAGAAGAGGGAGTCAAGCTGTTCTCTAAAGCACCAGAAGGCAAGACAAGAAGCAATGGGTGGAAACTCATCAAGAAGAGAAGCAGCTTAGAACTCAGGAGAAATTTCCCGACATTTAGAACAATTCATCAGTGGAACAACTTGCCACCAGAAGTTGTGAATGCTCCAACACTTTTTTTTTTTTTAATTTGATTTATATGCCGCCCTTCTCCGGAGACTCAGGGCGGCTTACAATGCATTAAGCAATTGAAAGTGTTAAGCAACACTGAAGGTTTTTAAGAAGAGGTTGGATAACCATTTGTCTGAAGTGGTGTCGCGTTTCCTCCCAAAGTAGGGGGTTGGACTAGAAGACCTCCAAGGTCCCTTCCAACTCTGTTATTCTATTCTATTCTGTTCTGTTCTGTTCTGTTCTGTTCTGTTCTGTTCTGTTCTGTTCTGTTCTGTTCCGTTCCGTTCCGTTCCGTTCCGTTCCGTTCCGTTCCGTTCCGTTCCGTTCCATTCCATTCCATTCCATTCCATTCCATTCCATAAAATCTAGCATGACTCACTGAGCGACCACCTTGCTTAACAATGGAATTTCTGGTGCCAATTTGCGGTCGAATGTCGAGGACTATTATCATTCGGGAGCAGAGCTCGTTCGAATGACAAAATAAGAGGCGGCAATCTCGCCAACAACGGCGTCTCTTAAAAGCCGCAAAACAAGGAACGTCGTTGTCACTCGTACAGCTCAATCCGCATGGCCAGCTGGAGTAAAAGGACACCTCTGGTCTGGGTCCAAAAAGAATTTAAAAACCGTAAAGCCATGTTCCAAAATATATAGTGGAGTGGGGGGGGAGGAAAAACCCACATCCAACTGTAAAACTGGATGTAGCAGCTGTTTGCGAGCTCATAAACTCCAGCTGACGGGACTCCTCCTAAAATTGCAGGTTGGCATTTTGAATAACTGCGTATTGTCAGGGCATATTTTTTTTACCAAAGAGAGACATTGAAAAGGCGGTAAAAAAAATATTAACACGTATATTGGTAACTACGCTAATAATGTAACAGAATAGTTTTGGCTAAACTTCTCTTTACATTGGCTTATTCATAATTCTGTAAGTATATTGGCATATTTACAGTTTTTTTTTTTTTTTTAATTTGATTTATATGCCGCCCTTCTCCGGAGACTCAGGGCGGCTTACAATGTGCTCAGCAATAGCCTTCATCCTTTTGTATATTTATACAAAGTCAGCTTATTGCCCCCACAATCCGGGTCCTCATTTCACCTACCTTAGAAAGGATGGAAGGCTGAGTCAACCTTGAGCCTTGGCGAGATTCGAACCTGCAGTAATTGCAGGCAGCTGGTCTTAATAACCAGCTTAATAACAGGGTGCCTTAAACCCCTGTACTACCAAGGCTCTTTTGATAAAGTTATCAACCATCTTTATCTTTCATTCATACGTAGCTATAGTTTTTCTTCATCTAATTTCTACCTCTTATCTCTAACCCAGGGGTCTGCAACCTTAAACACTCAAAGAGCCATTTGGACCCGTTTCCCACAGAAAAGAAAACACCGGGAGCCACAAAAACCTTCCTGTGCCTGACTATTTCTGGAGCGGCCACAAAACTAGCATATGTAGTAGAATTCAATGTTCTGTTTTCTTCTAAATTGGATTTATCCATGGCTGCCCTACCGCGGGCTGAAAAGCTCAATAAATCGTGTGCTGGTGGGTGTCTCACATTGGCTGTTGTGACGGATATTTTGAGCCGCAGCAGAGGGGTGAAAGAGCCACATGCGGCTCCAGAGCCGCAGGTTGCTGAACCCTGCTCTAACCGCTCGTAAAATTTATTCCACATCAAGTAATATTCTGTGTCATCCTTTTTTATGAGTTTTTTTAAAAAAATTGCAGGTTGGCAAGGGGGAAAAAATGTGCTGAAAATGGGGTTTTTTAAGGAAAACTAATAAAGTTAGAATCCTGCACGCTTCCTTTGTGAGGAAATTCGCCCAAGACGAGCCAGTTCTGAAAACGATGAAATTCCTGCGTTGCTATTGAGACGGATAACAATGGAATAGCAGGCAGGGGTTCTAAAATTACATCACACAACCATTAAAAATTGTTATCGCGTTCCTCATTCTTGCCTGGACCATTTAATTCTTCTTCCTGTGGTTTCTTCCTATATCATTTTTTTCAAAAATGAGGCTTCCGGTGAATTTGTAACGGCTTAAGTGTATCCCTGAAAGAGCCAGGAATGATTATAACAGAATAACAGAGTTGGAAGGGATCTTGTGGATCATCTAGTCCAACCCCAAAGCAGGAGACACTAAACCATTTCTGACAGACGACAGTCCAGTCTCTTCTTGAAAGCCTCCAGTGATGAAGCTCCCATAACTTCCGAAGGCATCTTCTGTTCCATTGAATATAGAATACCAGAGTTGGAAGGGATCTTGAAGGTCATCTGGTCCAACCCCCCCACCCAAGCAGGAGACTGTACACCATTTCTGACAGAGGGCAGTCCAGTCTCTTCTTGAAAGCTTCCAGGGATGAAGCTTCCACAACTTCTGAAGGCAACTTCTGTTCCATGGGTTGATTGTTCTCACTGTCAAGAAATTTCTCCTTATTTCTAGGTTGAATCCCTCCTTCATCAACTTCCATCCATTATTCCTTGTCTGGCCTTCCAGTGCCTTGGAGAATAGCTTGATCCCCTTCCTCCTCTCTGTGGCAGCCCCTCAAATATTGGAAGACTGCTATCATGTCTCCCCTGGCCCTTCCCAATTCCTGCAACCATTTTCATCGTATGTTTTAGCCTCCAGTCTCCTCATCATCTTGGTTGCTCTTCTCTGCACTCTTTCTAGAGTCTCAACATCCTTTTTTATAGCGTGGGGACCAAAACTGGATGCAGTATCCAGAATCAGATGGAGCAAAAATGGAAGATTTGGAGGATCGGATCAGCACGATGAAGGAAAGAAAGCCATTTTGTCTCCCCTCCCCATCTGGACCTTCGATGCCTATTTGTAAAAAAAAAGAGTGAAGTTCTCTCATCGCACAGAAAATAAAATGCTTTTGCTCTATTTGGTCTTACAATTGAAACGAGTGGTGGGATCCAAATAATTTAACAACTGGTTCTCTGCCCTAATGACTGGGTGGGTGGGCGTGGCCATGGTGGGCGTGGCCAGGGGGTGTGACAGTCAGCACTGGCCTCCTGCACCCCCCTGGGAGCAAAAATGGGCCGTGGGGGTGGGGGGATGCGCCGCACCCCCCCCGCACCCCATTTTGGGCCTAGGAGGCCTGCCTGCAGCCTCTTTGGAGCAAAAACGGGTCATGGTGGGGGGAACATGCTGCCACCCCCCTCTCCGCAATCTGTTTTGGGCCTAGGAGGCCTCCCTGAAGCCTCCTGGGAGCAAAAACGGGCTGTGGGGGTGTGCCACACAAACACCCTGCACCCCATTTTGGGCCTAGTAGGCCTCCCTGCAAAGTACTGCCAGTTAACTACCGGTTTACCCAAACCGGCTGAATCCCACCATTGGTTGAAACCCAGCATCCCAAATTGCGTGACGCAAATATGTAAACCGGGATTGAAATGAAAAGAGTGTCTGTGTGTCTGAAGAAGCTGTGTAGAAGGATGGATTGAAACTATCTCAGCACAGATTCTGTGTATCAGTTCCCTGCTGGCTCAAAGAATAAATTATTATTATTATTATTATTATTTTTAAATGTTAATGGGAAAACGAAAAAGTCCAGAACAGGAATCTGCAGTAAGTATGAATGTAAAAGGAGAATTCCGGAATACTACTTAACTTGAGAAAATTGGTATCAATGGATAGAAATTAAAAATAAGGGATGTATAGAATAAAATAAGATATAAAATGTGTTTAAATATGTTGATTAAGTAGGAATATGTGGGAGTAGATGAAGAAAGTTGAGAATTGCGTACTGTCAGGAAGACGTTCAATTGTATAATTATTACGGATGTATTTTTGTTATAGATGTATTTTAACTTGTATTTTTGGATTTTAAAGGTTAATAAAGGTTTATTTTAAAAAAAAAAGGAAAAGGGAAAGGAGAGGGAGAGGACAGATACATTCCTAACGTCCACCATCTCTGGGTGGGAAAAATGAGATTTTTTCCCCAGCTGGGCTTCCCTTTCCTTGGCAAGGGACTATTGAAAGAGCTGCAAATAGATTGATCCAAAAAGAATCGTCGACTAGGATACGCCACCAACGTGCCAGGGTTGGGGAGAATCAGCCGGCCAAGAACAGACCGACTTTCGAGGACACTAAAGTTTTTAATCCCTTGACATTTCAACTCATCGTGTTCCTTATTTATGTGAAGTTGCTCCTTGGTTCTTTTCCAAAAAGGGCGTGTAGGACATTCTTCTCATAGGGAACCTCTAGAATGGTTGGTACTACAAATACAAAACAGTTGACAGCTCTCGCATTCCAAGAATGACCAGATATGACCCTGTTTAGCTTCCCAGACCAGAAATAGGGCCTCTGTCATCTTCTTCTTCCTCTTCTTCTTCCTCTTCCTCTTCCTCTTCTTCTTCTTCTTCTTCGTCTTCAACAACTCTGGCATCTCCTGGTACCATGATGTCAATATATTGTACGTTTTGGTTTTTGACAACTGTGATATCTGGTGTGTTGTGTTCCAAGTGACAATACGTCTGTATTCGAAAGTCCCACAAGATCTTCACCTTCTCATTTTCTGTAACTACTTCTTCTTCTTCTTCTTCTTCTTCTTCTTCTTCTTCTTCTTCTTCTTCTTCTTCTTCTTCTTCTTCTTCTTCCATATCTATCATTGGACGTTGTCGATCATGTTGTCGATCCTATTTTTATCAACAGCTGCACGCAAAAGTGCTGCTGAGTTTTGCCCAAACCAGTCCCTTAGAGATTTTGAAGCCATGATGTTCTTCTGCCTGAACCTCGTTGGCCTTCAATCTTTCCCTGGAGGATTAAATGAAGGATGCCGTATTTTTTTAAGGTGTCGCATCACATATCCGAAATATTCTAACTTTCGCTTTTTAATGGTTTTGATGATTTCCCTTGGCTTTTTCAGGATTGAGAGGATGATCCAGCCATGAAGGCTATAGAGAAATTATGTTATAATTTAAGGATAAAGAGAGATCCAACCTAGAACCAAGAAGAACATTCCTGGCACTGGGAATTGAACAATTAATTAGTGGAACTCATGTATTTACGGAGGAGGAGGAGGAGGAGGAGGAGGAGGAGGAGGATGGGTTGCCACAAAGAAGTGGGGGTCAACTGTTCTCCAAAGCATCTGAAGGCTGGACAAGACAAGAAGCAACGGATGGAAAGTAAGCAAGGAGAGAAGCAAGCTAGAACCAAGGAGAAATTTTCTGACAGTTAAAACTATTAATCAGTGGAACAACTTGCTTCCAGAAGTTGTGAATGCTCCCAAACACATTGGAGGTTTTCAAGAAGAGACTGGACAGCCATTTGGGTGGAATAGGTTCTCCTGTTTGAGCAGGGGGTCAGACTGGAAGACCTCCAAGGTCCCTTCCAAGCCTATGATTCTATGTTCTGTAATACTGGCCTACCTCCTTTACTCCTGACCTTTCCCCAGAGCAATGGTTGAATGATGCCCGGATAGTGATGTTCAAGCTCAGAAGGCAGAGTAAGAAATGGCTCTTATCAAAAGATCTTTGCAAATGAAGATGGACCGTATTAATTCCTTCTTTTGAACTTTCCCCTGCAACGTCCGTTCTGTCCATTTACCTTTTCTCCTTTAGGTCCAAGAAATCCGATGGGTCCTGGTGAGCCTGTGTGTCCCTGAAGAGGAGAAGAAAGGGAATGACAATGAAATTCCATCTTCCGTGGAAGTCTACTTTGGCATGTGGACCTTGGCGAATGGCCTTCAGCACCATGGACCTGATTTAGCTCTTTGTTCCTGGACTCCAGGATAGGTGGAATCTCTCTCTCTCCTTCCCTCTCTCCTCTCTCTCTCTCCTTCTTTCTCCTTCCGTCTATTCCCCCTCTCTCTCCTTCTCTCTCTCTCCTTCTCCCTCCCTCTCTCCCTCTCCTTCTCTCTTTCTCTCTCTGCTTCTCTCCTTCTCTCTCTCTCTCTCTCCTTCTCTCTCTCCTCTCTCTCTCTCCTTCTCTCTCCTTCCCCCTATTCCCCCTCTCTCTCCTTCCCTCTCTCTGTCCTTCTCTCTCCTTCTTTCTGTCTGCTTCTCTGCTTCTTTCTCTCTTTCTCTCTCTCCTTCTCTCTCTCTCCTTCCCCCTCTTTCCCCCTCTCTCTCCTCTCTCTCTCTCCTCTCTCTCTCCTTCTCTCTCCCTCTCTCTCTCCCTCTCCTTCTCTCTCTCTCTCTCTCTCTCCCCCTCTCTCCCCCTTACTCCAACCCCACTCCTCATTCTAGGGATTTTCTCCAGAGGTGAAGAAAAGGGACATACATTTGAGAAGAAGCTGAGATGTCCCAAACAAAAAAATAAAACAGCTCCTGATAACCAAAAGGCAGCCAGATAAGTCCTACACAGACCACTGCATGGTTGCTAAAAGGTAGTCTAGGTTAGCCGCAACAGTCCCAAACCATGGTTACCTGATAGCCTTTTAATCCCATCTCTCCTTGGACACCCATTTGGCCAGGAGGTCCCTGTGAAGAACAACAGAGAGTCAATTCCATCCTTGCTCTTCCTAAAATCGGTTCCGTATTTTAGCTGAGGAAAACGTTCTCTCATATCTATTCACACTCTTTAAAACTCTGGTTTTAGCCTCTCAGCTTTCGTGTTCCTCAAGCCCTTCCTTTGGGAAACCTTCCAGGATCTTCTCTAAACTGAATGGATCCACCTGTTCTCTCCCAAACTTCGCTACTTTCCTCTAGTTCTTATTACACTAGAAGAAGAGGAGTTTGATCTGAGAATAAAGTCACAAAAAGTGAGGTGACACTCAAGAGGACCTGGGCTTTCCTAGACCAGCATCTCATTCTCCTGATGGTCCCAAAAATGGAACTCATAACCCTTGTCTCATTCACGTTCACTACCAACTGAACCTCAGGCTGTTTCTACTCCTGGACAAAATATATAGTCATCTTTGACCAGTGGTGGGATTCAGCCAGTTCCAGACGGTTCGAGAGAACTGGTAGTTAAATTGCTAGCTGGCCCCGCCCCTTCCAGGAATCCCCACGCACCCCATTTTGGCTCCCAGATAAGTCCAGGGAGGCCTACTAGGCGCAAAATGGGGCATGGGAGGGTGCAGCATGCCCCTCCCCGTGGCCCATTTTCATCCCAGGAGGCTTCAGGGAGGCCTACTGGGCCCAAAACAGGGCATGGGAGGCGCACCCCACCCCCCCAGCCCATTTTTGCTCCCAGGAGGCTGCAGGGAGACCTACTAGGCCCAAAATGGGGCATGTGGAGCCGCGTCCCCCTTGTGGCCCGTTTTTGCTCATAGGGGATTCTGAATGCTGTCACACCCCTGGCCACACCCACCATGACCATGCCCACTCGGCCGGTCATTAGAGCAGAGAACCGGTTGTTAAATTATTTGAATCCCACCACTGTCTTTGACCCTTAAGAAGGGAACTAAACTTACACGGGGTACCCCAAGCCTGGGGAATCAAAGTAATATCACTTCACTGCTCATACAGGGAGAGAGAGGACATCAATGTGTTGTGTTTCATTAGAATATATCCCTAAAGCCTTGTCTTTGAACAATCAGCCCTTGGCTTGAGTCATATGGTATAGCCCTGCCCAAGAGCTTACAAAAGATCCCTGGATGAGAAGAGAGATTCCTCAAAGCAAAAACATGACTGGTAGAACAAACACAGGTAACTGGGGAGAGTTGGGGACAATTTTAATGGATTACACCTCAAGAGTTCATTAAAAAGTGAATTCTCACCCTAAGTCCGAGGGTACCTCTTGATCCTTTGAGGCCTTGAGTCCCTCTTGAACCTATAGGTCCAGGTGGGCCCGTTTCTCCCAGCTGACCTTCGTGACCTTTGCTGCCCTGAAAAAGAGCAGACACATCAGCCACTGAAACCACGCCAGTCCCCATGGCTGAACGTCTGTCTAGGCCTGTGATGGCGAACCTATTGTTCTGTCCCCAACCACACGCACACACACCAACAGATGTCCAAGAGTTAAAGACCAAACCAGCCGACAAAATCCTTTTCCTTATGATAACGGAACTTGGCAACAACCTAGTGGCTGCCTGCCAAGAGTTTATTATTTACGAAGAGGAGAGATAACTTCTTCCCACTTCTGGTACATCAAAAGAAACAGCTCAATAATTATGGAGTCAATCAAGTCCAGAGATAATCCAGCAAAGTCTATAGCAAAAAGTCTGGCAATGCAGAATGGCGTGGAAGCTTTCAGCTTTGTTCGTCACAAGGTTTGACTGGCCACCACGCTCTCTTTTATATCCTGTGCGGTGTGGTCCAGTGACTCAGCCTAATCTCGGGCACGCCTTTTCTTCTGTTGTGCGCGCTTATCTCTGCGACGCTGGCGTGGATCCAGCCAAGACTCATTGCCCTCATCACTGTCCATCTTTGGCTGCGTGGACATGCTTGGCCCCGACCCTATCTCTTGCCCTTCGGCGGACACCGAAGGCATTGCCACAGAGGAGGGTCCTGGAGAGGGAGGCCTTGCCAACTCCTCTCCTTCACTCTCGGAGTCCTCTCCTGCCGATGACACAGGCTCAGATAACGGAGCCACAAAACCTATGGCTGTCACCCCAGGTCAGATCTCCGTGACGTTTCTTCCGTGAGCTTCTGTTTCCCTGCAAATGACGAAACAGAAGCTCGCGAAAGAGAAAGATCTTACCTCTTGCTGCGCTGCTGGTGTTGGAATGCCCCACTTCCCACCAACCAGCTGGTCTTCGGATCTCTGCTGTGCATACGTGCATGTCTGCATGTGCATGCATGTTTGTGCGTGTGCACCAGGGGTGGTATTCGCTTACCTTCGCTACCAGTTCGCAAAGGTGAACGTGCGCTCGTGATGCGCAGAGCGTCAAAAACGGGACGTGATGACGTCCGGGCGGGTGGGTGGAGCCTCCTGCAGCCGCCGCGGATAGAACCGGCTGAATGCCACCACTAGTGTGCACTTTTCAGTCTGGGCATGTGTGCGTGTGCCGTTTGGGCACTCGGTGTCTAAAAGGTTCGCCATCACTGGTCTAGGCCAAGACAATATCATTACACTAAAAAGGTTGGAAAATGTCCCCCAGCAAAGCAACACAAATCAATTTAAAAATATTTAGCATGTCAAGGAAGACACTAGCTTAGAACTCGCCTTGATAGGCTAGTTCTCTGTATTCTGAAGATCTTCCACGTTCATCGAGTTCCATCTTCCCACAATCCAGCTAAGAAGTCCATTTCTATCAGCTGAACGTTCCCATGCTGTCAACTCAGGGTGAAGAGAGACGCAACAGAAAGTAGAGAGGAGATTCTCGAGAGGATTAAAAAGATGGAATCACCCATACCTTAAGTCCAGCTTTGCCCTTTTCTCCTTGATGGCCAGGTTTTCCTTCTGGACCCTGAGAAGAAGAGGGACATCAAGGGTCAAGGCCTTCCAAAGACAAGAGTTTTATAAGGACGACTTTTTCATAGTAGAACCTATGTAGAGTAGAGTAGAGTAGAGTAGAGTAGAGTAGAGTAGAGTAGAGTAGAGTAGAATAGAATAGAATAGAATAGAATAGAATAGAATAGAATAGAATAGAATAGAATAGAATAGAATGTGGAATGGAATGGAATGGAATGAAATAGAATAGAATAGAATAGAATAGAATAGAATAGAATAGATAGAATAGAATAGAATAGAATAGAATAGAATAGAATAGAATAGAATAGAACAGAACAGAATTCTTTATTGGCCAAGTGTGATTGGACACACAAGGAATTCGTCTCCGGTGTATAAGCTCTCAGTGTACATAAAAGAGAGGGGGGGAGAAAAAAGAAAAAAAATACATTCAACACTTAGTGATAGTCATAGGTTACTAATAAGCAATCAAATCATACTAGGAAACAAACAGAACACCAGTAAATCGTAAAAATACACGCAACAAGTGGGAGGAGATAGGTAAGCAGCTTCTTGGATGAGAAGCAAAACGTCTTCAAAGAAAAACCAGAAAGTCCAATTGCCTCTTGAAAAAGCACCTTTTGGGACTAACGACAGTCCCACTGAATTACAATCATTCTACCCTGACTCACATTTTAAAACAAAATAATTTAATATATCTTTTCCAGGGTTAATTTGAGAGTTGGCAAACCATTTTTTCCCCCCAATTTCACACTTGTCTAGATGTTGCGATACATTTTTCACTAGAAAACAATTACCCTGTTTCCCCCCAAAATAAGGCATTCCCTGATAATAAGCCCAATTGGGCTTTTGAGCGCATGGCAATAAGGCCAAGCATTTATTTCAGGGTTCAAAGAAATATAAGACAAGGTCTTATTTTTGGGGAAACACGGTACTGAACCAGCTTATTTGACGTGGGGAGATAAAAACATTATTGAGACTTTCTGGAGCTACTGTGCCTTTAACTAAAAGCTTCCTTCTGTGTCATTTATTCCTGTTGAGATCATTTGGGGATTAGTAAGAAATCCACCCCCCCACACCCCGTTTATTATTTTTATTATTGTGATTTGAGCTTATGTGATTTAGGATTTAAGTCAGGGATGCCACCCGTCTGTTTACAAATAAAGCAAAGAAGGAATCAAGGTTGCAAAGATTCCTTCCGTGATCTGGGAAGTGAGAGAATAAAAGGTAAAGGTTCCCCTTGCACATGCGTGCTAGTCGTTCCAGACTCTAGGGGGCGGTGCTCATCTCCTTTTCAAAGCCGAAGAGCCAGCGCTGTCCGAAGACGTCTCCGTGGTCATGTGGCCGGCATGACTCAACGCCAAGGGCGCATGGAACGCTGTTCCCTTCCCAACAAAGGTGGTCCCTATTTTTCTACTTGCATTTTTTACGTGCTTTCGAACTGCTAGGTTGGCAGAAGCTGGGACAAGTCACGGGAGCTCACCCCGTTACGCGGCACTAGGGATTCGAACTGCTGAACTGCTGACCTTTCGATTGACAAGCTCAACATCTTAGCCACTGAGCCACCATGTCCCCAATTATGCCCAATTTTGGCCAGCAGACATCAGCACCAAAAAAAAAGAAAAGAAGAAGAATCATCATAAAAATTGAGAGGGAGGAAGAGAAGGGAAAGCTGCTAGGTATTTTCCCAAGGATGTGAGATGACTCATCGCCATTTCATCACTTTGAACAGGGAAGCCAAGGACCTCTGTTTCGGGATGAGTCCTGCAGGCCTGGGGCACTGAGCCAAGGAATTGGTGGGACGGAACACAACAGCTGCTGGAGAGTTGAAATAATGAATTTGTACGTATTTTTCCCCCCCAAATGAGGAGCTGAATATTTCAAGAGGTCTTTGATGTTACCAACAGTGAGTTTCACATTATGTTACAACCGGTTCGCCCCGTGAGTGTGCCCGCTCGCTTCATGCATACATGCGCCCGGTTCGCGTGCGTGCCTGCCTTCAGCACATCCACTCGGCCTTCTGTGCATGCACCCGGCCTCAAAAATGTGCCAAATAGGACGAAATAGAGCCAGGGTGGTGGGGTGAGTGGGCTGGCCCACCCACAATTTCCGCTACCAGTTCGGGCGAACCGTTCCAAACCAGTTAAATACCACCTCTGGACCAGCGGTGGGTTTCAAAAAGTTTTACTACCGGTTCTGTGGGTGTGGCTTGGTGGGCATGACATGGCTTGGTGGGCGTGGCTTGGTGGGCGTGGCAGGGGAACAATCCTGTAAAATCTCCATACCCTCCCCAATCCAGGGGAAAGTTACTGCAAAATCCTCATTCCCTCCCAATTAGTTGGGACTTGGGACTTGGGAGGCAGAATTTAATTAATTTAATTTAATTTAATTAATCATATTTCTATGCCGCCCGAATGCCAAGGGACTCTGGGCGGCAGAAATAGATGGGGGCAGGGCCAGTCAGAGGTGGTATTTACCGGTTCTCTGAACTACTCAAAATTTCTGCTACCAGTTCTCCAGAATGGGTCAGAACCTGCTGAAACCCACCTCTGCTCTGGACGTTACCCCATTGAGCAAATCCTTACTCTATTTCGGATCCCTTGATCTCAGAAGGCAGAAGAACAGATGCTGAAGACACTCATGCTTGATTTATCTCCAGGTACTTCAGTCAAGGTTGCAGGTGAAACATGGAGACTACCCTCACAATTTGATACAAAAGCTACAAGTGGCAGAAAGAGCCATGGAAAGATACATGCTCGGCATCAAGAGACAAAAATAGGAAGACTCATACATAGATTAGAGAACAAACGAAAGTTATGCGACACCATCAAGAGAGTAGAAGAATTGAAATGGAAATGGGCTGGTCACATAGCAAGAAAAACTGAGGGCAGGTGGACCAAGGCAGTCATAGAAAGGATCCCACTTGATCAAAAGCATCTACGAAAGAGACTTAAAACAAGATGGACATCAGCAAGTAGTGTTGTGGTCGGTCAGCAGCCTGTGGAGCTGGCAGCGGTCGGACAGTGAGGAGGCTGGAGAGGAACATGGGCCAGTCCTGGAGGCTGGGTAAGGCCCGGATGAGGGCTCTGCGTCGGAGGCAGAGATGGGCCCAGGGCCATCTGGGAGTGATGCACGGACTCTGGAGCCTCCAGAGATTTCCTGAAATTTTGTATTCTCTTTGTTCAAGAGAAACTCTTGTCCACAAAGACAATGGCCTGAATGTCTCCACGAAATTAGCTGAGTTGGAGAGTTAGTCCCACAATGACCTAACTCATCAGAAACTCATCAGAAACATGTTTTGTCTGCGTTCTCTCCGTCAGGATGACTAAGCCCTGGTTGAAGAAAAGAATTTATAACTTCAGATCGGAGAGAAAGACATGGAATTGCTGAACGTGGGAAAATTTGATGCCTCTGTGGTCAGATGAATCCTGAAGACACTGAACAGCCTTCCCAAACTGGGCACCCTCCAGAAGCTCCAATTCCCCAAAGTTCCAGCCAGCTTGACTATTTAAGGCCTAGATAAGAAGATGCTCAAAGATAAATCCTTAGCAAAATTTCTAAAAAGGAGAATGGTCGAGGTTCAGGTGGACATCATCTGAGCGTCCAAGAAGAAGATGGTAAACTTCCTAGAAGAACAAGAGAAGACTGTATGTGCTTCTCAAAATAGAAGCCATCTCCAATGTAATGAATAAGAGACAACTTAGATGATGATCCTAGGAGTGGTGCAGTGGCCTAGAGGTGGAGCTCTCTCCTCACAATCAGGAGGCTGTGAGTTCGATCCTAGATAGAGGTAGATATTTCTCTCTCTGGGCACTCTGAGAATATATCTGCTGAACAAAACTCCGCATTGGCGACATGAAGGGCATCCGGACATTAAAACACTCTGCTAGCTCCATTCAGTTGCCCAGACTCCACCCCGCAAGAGATTATGGGGTCATTAAATGAAGATGATGATAGATGATGGTCCTAATCGAACAGAATATTTGTAGCTCAGGGTTGACCTGTGGGGTCCTTGATGCTCTCCGAGCTTGGTGGGTTTCTTGCAGATGTTTCATTACCAAATGTGGAAACTTCATCCGTGCTAGTGAGGGTGGCTTGCTCCCTATTTATATACAGTAGTTCTGAGCTTTGTGGTTTTCTTGCAGATGTTTTACTACCCAACTAGGAAACGTCCATACATAATGGAGGGGTAATGAAACATCTGCAAGAAAACCGTCAAGCTCAGAGAGCACCAAAGACCCCCTAGATGATATAGTCCTTCTAATAAAGTCATCTAAGATTCATGAGTATCTGGGCTGAAAGAGTCATAGAAAGGAAGATGATCCAAAACAAGAAGGTGGACCAATTTGGGATTGCTTCTCCACTCACACTTGGATCCAGTTTGGAAGAAAACCTCAACGTGCTTCTAGAAGATACTAAGAAGACTGGAAGATGCCACAGCAGATCATTTAGTTTGTTCCTCCAATCTGATACTGTCTACATTGGCAGCTGTTCTCTCCCTCTCTCTTTCTCTTTCCCTCCCTCCCTCCTTCTCTCCCTCCCTCCCTCCCTCCTCCCTCTCTTTCTCTCTCACTCTTTCTCTCTCTCCCCCTCTCCCTCCTTCCCTCCCTCCCTCTCCCTCGCTCTCTTTCTTTCTTTCTTTCTCTCTCTCTCCCTCCCTCTCTCTCCCTCCCTCTCCCTTGCTCTCTCTTTTTCTCTCTCTCCCCCTCTTTCTCTCTCCCTCCCTCCCTCTCTCTTTCTCTCTCTCTCTGTCTCTCTCTCCCTCTCTTTCTCTCTCTCTCCCTCTTTCTCTTTCTCTTTCTCTTTGTCTCTCCCTCCCTCCCTCTCTTTCTCTCTCCCTCCCTCCCTCTCTCTCTTTCTCTGTCCCTCTGTCTCTCTGTCTCTCTCTCCCTCCCTCCCCCTCTCTCTTACATGGAACTAATCTGTCCTTAGAATTTCAAGTGGGAGGGAGAATGGATTTAACAGAGATTAAGTCACTGTCCTGAGAAAACCACACAC